AGGTACTTGGACATAAATATCACTTCCTAAAACGTATAGTGTTGTTTTGTGTGTGAGGTGTTTTTCATAAACATAAATGGCATTGGGTCACAGCTGTGCTTCTTGTAGTTTTCACTCTAGACACTACCTCTGTGTTGCTGTTGGCACATCAACTTCACTGCTTCTGACTGCTGCATAATATTCTATCCTGGCCACCCATCACACTTTCCTGGTCCATTTTTCTTATTTAGGGCTCTTTCAACTTGCTACCTCCACAGAAATGATGCAAGAAACATATTTATTTATAGCTTCTTATGAATCCATGCCAGAATTTTTCTTGGGAATGTAACCAGGAGTGGTTCTCTGAGTCAAAGGATATGCAAATATTTTATTTCACCAAGTGCAGAAGAATTGCTTTCCAGATTCACAGGTACAATTTGACAGTCCTGCCAGTAGCACCAGGGATTTCCTTTCTTCACATCCTCTCCAACACTTGGTAATTTGTGGCTATTCTAGTGCATGCAAAATGGTACCCCGTTGTTGCTTTTAATTTATATATTTCTGGTTACAGATAACCATGAGCACCTCTTCTGTTTGCTGGCTATTTGGGTTTCCTCTGCTCATTCATGGTTGTGTGTTTGTGTGTGCACAAATTGTCCTTATATAGCCTACCTAGTGGTTTCTTGTAGCTCTCAGATATTGTCCATCTCTTACCTGCACCTTTCATTGAATGGAAGTCCAGTCCATTTTCTCCTTGATGTGAGCTTTTAGGGTCTTCATTAGCCATTCCTTACCCTTTGCTCACAAAGTTATTCATGTTTCCTTCCATTAGATGTGTACCTTAACCTTCTGCATTTAGATCTCTTATCTACTTGAGTTTACCTCTGTATGAAGCAAAAGGGAGATATCCAGCTTTGCTTTTCTCCCAATAGTAAGCCCCATGTCTAGTACCATCTAATAAATAATCTATCCTTTATATGTGGTTCACTTTTTATCACATCTCAAGTTCCCCTGGAAAAACAAGTCTATTTTTCTGCTCATTTTCTTGTTGTATTAGTCCACCTATAACTTAGTATGTCTTTAGATCTCATAGAGAAATTAGTTATTTAAGAACTCTTATTCCTCTAAGTTTTAGAGTAAGTCATTTAGTTCATCAAAAAATTAATACATTATTTCTGGAAAGATCTAGTAAACTTGTTGGTAGATCAATTCCTTGCTTCTGTGTGATTTTTATTTACATTTTTATCCTTATTTCCTAGCATAGTATCTTACATGCTCAATAAATATGTATAGAACTGAACTATTGTTGAACTAATTTATGATCTCCTTTTAGTGACTGGGCAGGAGAACAAATTATATAATGATGGAGGTCAGATTTGTGTGAGAAAAGACAGAAGAGGAGCAAAAGGCCAGGGAATTGACCCCCTTCTGTAAAAGGGACAACTGTGGCTTTGGTTTTAATTCTTATAATAACTCACTGAGATTAGCAAGTCCTGACTGAGAATAACTTCTGCAGAGAGCTTTAGAAGTGGCTTCACGTGAGGGCCAGTAGCTGGGTTCCCAGTGGAATTTCAAAGTAAAATATGTAACTTAAACTAGGAGATGATGGAAGGAAAAATGCTATCAGTTAATTCATATAATCAAATTAGCCGTTTTTTGAATGTCAAGCTGCAAATACTGCTGCAGAAAAGATTTATGCTACAGAAATGAGGAGCCTGCCATCTAGTGGCAATAAATCTACATACCACCACTCGAACTCTAGTCCTAAGGAATAGGACACACTATAGTGGTTACTATAGGCTACTCACTATTCTAAGAATTTTACACATTACAACAATAACACTGTGAGATATAGCTTATTATTACCCCCCATTTTAAAGATGAAGAAATTGAAACTTAGAGGAGTTAAACAATTTGCCAAAGTCACAGAGCTAATACTGTGTTGAAATCTTGACTGTGTGGCTTGAGAAACAATATATTCAAACTATTTGCTACTATGCCCGAAAGAAAAAGAGTGTGGTATGCTAGGATTGTCTCCTACCAGCTAGAGCAAGTGGATGGTGTGCATTCTTTCCAACGCCTCATTCGACATCACACTGGTAGTTTCAGTTCTGTCATGGTGGCAGTGTTTACACAATGAAAATCAGAGAATTCTACACATTCAGGCTTTTTTTTTTGCCATGCTTCACCCCATAGAGAGCTGGTTTGCAGGGTGAGAAAGACTAAGAATCAGGAGACATATCCATAAGCTTTCTTTAGGAAGGCTGGAAAAGGGATTTGGAAAGTACTGAAAAACTGGTTTTTGTAAAAAATCAGATAAAGAGATCTTGAGACTTTTCTTTTGATATTTTGTATTAGATCAGAAATAGGTAGTTTATGACTAATGTAGAACCTCCGGAAATGAGGAGAGTCTTACTGCAAAGTACTATGCAGATGCTCAACTGCTTTAGAGGAAAGAACACAGAACAGTTACAGAGGCTCTGTTGCAAAGTACATATTAAAACTGGCAAAGAAACAGATGAGTCAGAAAAAACAAGCAGAGCTATTTTTTTTAAAGAGGAACTGAAGCTATGTAAAACAGGACCTACTTAAAATTTCTTGAAATGGCCAAAATTGCATTGTCTATCTCAAGAAATTTTAAGTAGGTCCTGTTTATTTATTGTGTGTTTGATCTCCAAAATTCAGAGAACAAATACATCTATGCCAGTTTGAAGGGGATCAAATCACACACTGAGAATAGCCATGGCATTTAGGGGAAATGAGCAAAGTTGCTACAATTTCAACTTCTTCCCCTTTTCTAAATGCTTGGAGTGCACACACACACACACACACACACACACACACACACACTCCTAATTGGGAAGAGACCTGCATTGTATTCTTGCGGACTACATTCAGTAAATAACAGCTTGAAGAGATATTGCAATGTTGTAAGTATAGTCACCAACAACCTACATTATGTTACAATGTGTAAGAAGAACTCATCTGAGATTTTTTCCTCACAGAATCTGTGGTAGAAAAGACATGTTAGGAATTCCAGGTCGTGTCCCTCCCCACCCTTTTTTTGGGGGGGGGGGATGCCTCTGTAGCCCCTCCTAAATGAATAGGTGTAACAGATTATAATCTGGTCTCCTCGCTATAATTTATGGATGAATCCCTAACTCAAGCAGTGTTATACTCTGAGAATTTAAAGACACAGGAAATATAGTATTGTATATTGGAGCTGCAAGACTGTTTAGAGTTGGAGCTATGGCGAACTGGAATTATAAGGGGCCACAGACTGTAATGAACATCCCTCCAGTGGAAGGAGATTTGAAGAGATGAGCCCAGAACGGACGTACAGAAAGATGCAGGCGTAAGAGCTATTTAGTGAGAAAGCTGATGGAAAGAAGAGAGAAGGAAGGAGACGAGAGACGAAAGAGGAGGAGAGAGAGGGAGACTCCCTAATGGTTTTTAGTTTTCATGATCAGTCATATTTCCTGCAAATGCCTGAATGGGGCTCCATGAGAGCCCTTGAGTCATTTTAATAATTCTCTCTTTTACTTTTGCTTCTTTGAGTTGATTTTTATTTCTTGCATTCAAATGATCCATGATTGAGTATCATCAAAGTAAATTAGAGTAGATAAGCACAGGACTCAGCGAACACCCAGCAGCTGCTGCTGTCCTCTGAGCCAGAACATTCCTGGAACGTATATTTCAGGAAATTACATATATATATCTATTTTTAAAATAACATTAGTTTCTTTCTTCTTGGTAATAAAGCTAATGCAAAGATACGTCATCAAATGGTTGCTCATAGGTCCTGGTACTTGCCTCTTCCACAAAGAAGGACCAAAACAATAAAGAGATAATAACCACATGTTAAATAGGAGCATCTAAGTGAGAACACTGAAATTCAGCACGGAGGTGACACTCTTTCAAGCATTTAAACTCAATACGGCAGCATAGAGAGACAAGTGAAACAGCTGGTTGGGATTATCTTGGATCTGAGAAGGACTCACCATTTTGAGGAAAAGCTAAGCAAGAGATACATAGCAGTTTATATTCTCATCACAAACACCAGCAGCTCTGATTACAGGAGAGCTGGGTCTAGTATAGGGAGCTGCCTGGGTCCATATATCTACATTGTTCCAGAGAGGACATTTGCACCGAGTTTTACTCGTGAGACCTAAATTACCACAGAAAACCTGCCCCTTCAAGCACAGCACCATTTTGGAAGCAGAGTTACCACCAGACTGCATTCTGGCCTGGGACCCAATAGGTCTTGCATCTTCACAGCCCTTGTGCTCCACCAATACCCCTCAACATGCATTCAGAGAGCTGCAATGTTACAACACCAGCTAGACCCAGCAGTACAGCTGTATCCCTGCCACCCAAGTCGATGCAGCACCCTACACTCTTAGGAACAGGCACACCAAGCAGTCTAGCATACCAGGAAGGCTGTTTCAAAAGATGGGTAGCCAAAGCATGTGCTCCCTAGAACCTCAGGCCTGCCTGCCTGTGGCTGCCACTGTCACTGGTGGTCCCCAATCCCTCGAGCAGATGTTCTGTGTACCACCCAGGGGCCCCAAAATCAGAATGCCTAGACCCACTGCCAGTACCAGTAGTGCCTGTGCATGGTGCCCAAGGACCCAAGGACCAGCCCACCCAGTGCCCACCACTACCAATGTCAGAAAACCTCCCCCCTCAAGCAGTGGGGCCACCACATACCTGCGTGTGCTTACTAGGGGCCCAAAGACTGGCCTGCTCAGTGTCTTCATTTCCAGCAAAAGTTTTCTACAGCCCCACAAACAACTACAGTATAAGTAAATGAGGAACTTGTAGAAACTACTGATATTGATAACAGCCAAAGAAATCATATGGAAATTGCACTGTTGCACTCACTCAGAAATAAAGCCAAAGCAACCTACCCAACTAAGACTACAGATACATACACAGGAAAACTATTTCCCTGTTAAAGCTATTTAATCAAATTAGAAGAAATGACTGTTTTACCAAACGCACAGATATCAACACAAGAATCTCTGCCCTTGGACGCCGCCGAAGCAGCTTCGTTAAAGTCTCTCTTCTCCCCGCGATCATGTCTAAGTCAGAGTCTCCTAAAGAGCCGGAACAGCTGAGGAAGCTCTTCATTGGAGGGTTGAGCTTTGAAACAACCTATGAGAGCCTGAGGAGCCATTTTGAGCAATGGGGAACGCTCACAGACTGTGTGGTAATGAAAGATCCAAACACCAAGCGCTCCAGGGGCTTTGGGTTCGTCACGTATGCAACTGTGGAGGAGGTGGATGCAGCCATGAATGCAAGGCCACACAAAGTGGATGGAAGAGTTGTGGAACCAAAGAGAGCTGTCTCAAGAGAAGATTCTCAAAGACCAGGTGCCCACTTAACTGTGAAAAAAATATTCGTTGGTGGCATTAAAGAAGACACTGAAGAACATCACCTAAGAGATTATTTTGAACAGTATGGAAAAATTGAAGTGATTGAAATCATGACGGACAGAGGCAGTGGCAAGAAAAGGGGCTTTGCCTTTGAAACCTTTGATGACCATGACTCTGTGGATAAGATTGTCATTCAGAAACACCATGCTGTGAATGGCCACGCTGTGAAGTTAGGAAAGCCCTGTCAGAGCAAGAGATGGAGAGTGCTTCATCCAGCCAAAGAGGTCGAAGTGGTTCTGGAAACTTTGGTGGTGGTCGTGGAGATGGTTTCGGTGGGAATGACAACTTTGGTCATGGAGGAAACTTCAGTGGTCATGGTGGCTTTGGTGGCAGCCGTGGTGGTGGTGGATATGGTGGCAGTGGGGATGGCTATAATGGATTTGGTAATGATGGTGGTTTTGGAGGAGGCGGTCCTGGTTACTCTGGAGGAAGCAGAGGCTATGGAAGTGGTGGACAGGGTTATGGAAACCAGGGCAGTGGCTATAGCTATGACAGCTATAACAACGGAGGCGGAGGCGGCTTTGGAGGTGGTAGTGGAGGCAATTTTGGAGGTGGTGGAAGCCACAATGATTTTGGCAGTTACAACAATCAGTCTTCAAATTTTGGACCCATGAAGGGAGGAAACTTTGGAGGCAGAAGCTCTGGCCCCTATGGTGGTGGCGGCCAATACTTTGCCAAATCATGAAACCAAGGTGGCTATGGCAGTTCCAGTAGCCGCAGTAGCTATGGCAGTGGCAGAAGATTTTAATTAGGAAACAAAGCTTAGCAGGAGAGGAGAGCCAGAGAAGTGACAGGGAAGCTACAGGTTACAACAGATTTGTGAACTCAGCCAAGCACAGTGGTGGCAGGGCCTAGCTGCTACAAAGAAGACATGATTTAGACAAATACTCATGTGTATGGGCAAAAAACTCAAGGACTGTATTTGTGACTAATTGTATAACAGGTTATTTTAGTTTTTGTTCTGTGGAAAGTGTAAAGCATTCCAACAAAAGGTTTTAATGTAGATTTTTTCTTTTTTTTTTTTTGCACCCATGCTGTTGATTGCTAAATGTAATAGTCTGATCGTGACACTGAATAAATGTCTTTTTTTTTAATGTGCTGTGTACAGTTAGTCTACTCTGAAGCCATCTTGGTAAATTTCCCCAACAGTGTGAAGTTAGAATTTCTTCAGGGTGATACCAGGTTCTATTTGGAATTTATATACAACATGCTTGGGTGGAGAAGCCAATGTCTTCAGAAACCTTGGTGTAGTTGAACTAATAGTAACTGTTGTGACCTGAAGTTCACGATTAAAAGGGATTACCCAAGCAAAAATCATGGAATTATTGGTTATAAAGATGATTGTTTGCACATCCTATGCAATATATCTAAATTGAATAATGGTACCAGATAAAATTATAGATGGGAATGAAGCTTGTGTATCATCCATTATCATGTGTAATCAATAAATGATTTAATTCTCTTGAAAAAAATAAAGAACACAAGAATCATGAAAAAGCAAAGAAATATGATGCTTCCAAAGGAACACAGTAACTCTCCAATAACAGACCCCACAGAAAAGGAAATCTATGAAATGTCCAAAAACGAATTCAAATTAATGATCTTTAGGAAACTCAGCAAGATACAAGAGAACACAAATAGGAAATAGAAAGAGATAAGGAAACAATTAATGAAATTTTAAAAGGAATACATATAATTAAAAGGCAAATAGAAATTTCAAAACTGAATAGTTCAATGAATAAAATAAAAGTGCAGTTGAGAGCTTCAGCAATAGACTGGATCAAGCAGAAGAATTTCTGAACTTGAAGACAAATATTTTGAAATAGCCCAGTCAGACAAAAAAGATATAAAGTAACAAAAAAAGAATAAAAGTAATGAAGAAAACCTGCATGACATATGGGACACCATTAAATGAACAAATATTTGCCTTTTGAGAGTTTTAGAAGACATGGGAAAAGGCACAAAAACCATATTTAATAAAAGAATAGTTGAAAACGTCCTGAGTCTTGTGAGAGATACAGACATCCAGATACAGGGAGCTCAAACATTCCCAAATAGATTCAACCCAAAAAGGTCCTCTCCACAGCACATTGTGGTTAAACTGTCAAAAGGGAGAGACAAATAGAGAATTCTAAAAACAGCAAGAGGAAAGTGTCAAGTGACATATAAGGGAATCCCCATCAGACTAACAGCAGATTTTTCAGCAGAAACTTTACAAGACAGGAGAGAATGGGATGATGTATTCAAAGTGATGAAAGGGAAAAAACCCCTGCTAGCCAGGAATACTATGCCGAGCAAAGCTATCCTTCATTAATGAAGGAGAAGTAAAGTCTTTCTCTGACAAGCAAAAACTGAATTTGCCCTACAAATGCTTAAAGGAGTCCTACATCTGGGAGTGAAAGGACAATATCTACCATCCTGAAAACACACAAAAGTATAAAACTCACTGGTAGATCAGATATATGAATGAAAGAAAGAAAGGAATCAGACATTATCAGTACAGAAAATCACCAAAAATAAAAAATAAGAGAGATGGAAAAGGACAAATGATATGCAAAACAACAAAATAACAGGAGCAAGTCTTCATATCTCTGTAACAATCTAGAATGTAAACAGTTTAAATTTCCCAATTAAAATATATACACTAGCTAAATGGATAAAAAAGATGTAACTACACACTGCTTTTAAGAAATTCACTTCACTGGTAAAGAAACACATAGACTGAAATTGAAAAGATGGAAAAACATGTTTTATGTAGATGGAACCAAAGTACACATGAGTAGTTACACTTATATCAGACAAAATGGACTTTAAGTCAAAAAACATGAGACAAAGTCATTATAAAATTGTAAAGGAATCAATTTGGCAAGAGGACATACAATTGTAAATATATATGCACTCCACACTGGAGCACTCAGATATGTAAAGCAAATGTTGTTAGAGCTAAAGAGAGAGAGGTAGGTGTCAATAAAATAAAAGGTAAGAACTTCAGCAGCCCATTTCAGCTTTGGACAGATTCTCTAGATAAGATCAACAAAGAAACATTGGACTTAAACTGTTCTGTGGATTAAACAGATCTAATAGACATTAACAGAATGTTTCATCCAATAGCAGCAGAATATACATTTCATCAGCACATGAAACATTCTCTGGGATAGACTATATGTTATGCCACAAAACAAATCTCAAGAAATTTTAACAAATCAAAATCATGTTGAGTATCTTCTCAGGCCACAATAAAATAAAACTAGAAAACAACAAGGGGAACTTCAGAAATTGTTAAAAATACATGGAAATTAAACAGTGTGTGCTCAAACTAGCATGAATCTATGAAGCAATAAGAAGAAAGTAAATGTTTTTAAACAGATGAGAATAGAAACAAAACATACCAAAACCTATGGAATATAGCAAAAACATTACTGAGAGAACTTTATAGGAGTAAATGCCAACATCAAAAAGGAGAAAGAACTTGAATAAACAATCTCAAAATGTTTCTCACAGAAGTAGAGCAGCAAGAACGACCCAAACTTAAAATTAGTAGAAGGAAAGAAGTAATACAGATCAGAATAAAACTAAATAAAATAGGGACAAAAATACAAAAGATTTACAAATTGAAAGTTGTCTTTTTGAAAAGAAAAAGTCAACAAATCACTAGCTAGGCTAAGAAAAAAGAGGGAAGAAATAAAATCAGAAATAAAAATGGAGGCATTACAGCTGATGCCACAGAAATAAAAAAAGATCATTGAAAACTATTGTAAACAACAATACATCAACGGACTGAGAAACCTAGAGGAAATAAGAAAATAGATAAATTCCCAGACACATACAACCTACAAAGATTGAACTAGGAAGAAATAGAACACCTGGACAGACTAATAATGAGTAATGAGATTTAATCAAATCTCTTTTTCTTTATAAATTACCCAGTCTTGGGTATTTCTTCATAATGATATGAAAATGGACTAATACAGTCATATATTGTATGATAATGAGTAATGAGACTTAATCTAACTTCTTTTTCTTTATAAATTATTCAGTCAGGTATTTCTTCATAGCAATATGAAAATGGACTAATGCAGTCACATCTGTATAATTAAAAGTTTCCCAACAAAGGAAAGCCCAGGCAGAATGGTTGTATTGCTGAATTCTCCCAAACTGTTAAAGAAGAACTGACATCAACTCTTCTCAATCTATTTTAAAAAAATTGAAGAAGAGGGAATTTTTCCTAACACATTTCAATAGGCCAGCATTATTCTTATACCAAAGCCAAACAAAGGCACAACAAAAAAAGAAAAAGCAACAGGCTGTATCCCTGATGAACACACAAGCAAAAGTTCTCAACAAAATATTAGCAAACTGAATCCAACAGCACACCAAAAAAATAGTACACCATGATGAAGTGGGTTATCCCAGGGAGGCAAGAATGTTTCAACAGACGCAAGTCAATAAATGTGATATATCACATCAACAGAATGACAGACAAATGCAATATGATCATCTCAATAGATGCAGAAAAAGCATTTGATAAAATTAAACATCCATTCATAATAAAAACTCTCTACATAGGAACTTGGGAGTTTAGGAATAGAAAGAACATACCTGAATTATGTGTAGAAGGAATGTACCTCAACACAATAAAGTCATGTATGAGAAATCCACTGTTAACATCATACTAAATGAGGATATGCTGAAAACTTTTCCTCAAAGGACCAGAACAAGGATGCCCACTCTCACCACTCTTCTTCAACATAGTACTATAATTGGGCAAGAGAAAGAAATAAGGAGGGTGTCCAAATTGGAAAGAGGAAGTAAAATTGTCTCTTTTTTTTTATGGACGACATGATCTTTTATACAGAAAACCCTAAAGACTTCACCAAAACAAACAAACAAAACAAACAAAAACTGCTAGAAAAAATACTGATAAATTCAGTAAAGTTTCAGGACACAAAATCAAAACAGAAAAATTAGTAGTGTTTTTATACAGCAATTACCAACTCATTAAAAAAGAAATGTAGAAAATATTCTCATTTACAATAACTACAAAAAAAAATAAAGTACATAAAATAAATTTAACCAAGGAGGTGAAAGTTCTGTGCAATGAGAACCACAAAACACTGATGAAAGAAATTGAAAGGGGACACAAACCAATAGAAAGACATTCCAGGCTCAAGGATTAGAAAAATTAATACTGTTAGAGAGACGATACTATTCAAAGGGATCTACAGATTCAATCTGATCCCTATCAAAATACCAGTGACATTCCTCACAGAAATAGAAAAAGGAATCCTAAAATTTGTATGGAACCACAAAAGATCCTGAATAACCAAAGCAATCCTGAGCAAAAAGAACATAACTGAAAGCATCACACTATCTGACTTCAAAATATACTACAAAGTTATAATAGCCAAATCAGAATGGTATTGGTATAAAAATGAACACAGAGACCAATGGAACAGAATAAACAACCCATAAACAAACCCAGGTATAAATATTTACAGCCAACTGATTTTTGGCAAAGGTGTCAAGCACATACACTGGGGAAATAACACCCTGTTTGATAAATGGTGCTGGGAAAGCTAGATATTCATATGCAGAGGAATGAAACTAGACCCCATCTCTTTATATATATAAAAATAAACTCAAAATAGATTAAAGACATAAATGTTAGACCTGAAACTATAAAACTGCTAGAAAAAAACATAGGGGAAACACTCCAGGTCATTGGTCTAGGCAAAAATTTTATGCCTGTGACTCTAAAACACCGATAACAAAACCAAAAATAGACAAATGGGACCACACTAAACTAAAAAGCTTCTGCACAGCAAAGGAAGCAATCAAGAGTGCAGGCAACCTATAGAATGAGAGAAAATATTTGCAAGCTTTACATCTGGCAATGTAGTAACATCCAGAGTCTACAAGGAACTCAAACAACTCAATAGTAAAAGACCCTAACAATGTCATTAAAAAGTGGGCAAAGGATCTGAATAGTCATTTCTCAGAAAAGACATACAAAAGATCAGCAAGTATATGAAAAAATGCTCCACATCACTAGTCATCAGGGCAATGCTGTTTATTGCAGCACTATTCACAATAGTTAAGATATGGAATCAACCTAAATGTTCATCGACAGGTAAGTGGATAAACAAAATGTGGTATATATACACAGTGGAATTCTATGCGTCCACAAAAGAGAATGAAATCCTGTCATTTGCAGCAATGCAAGTGAGCTTGGAGATGATTATGTTAAGTGAAATAAGTCAGATGGAAAGAAATACTGCATATTTTCATTCATATGTAGGAGCTAAAAAAAGTTGAGTTCATAAAAGTGAGTAGAGTTGTGGTTATTAGAGGCTAGGAAGGGTTGGGAGAGGATTAGAAGAGGTTGGCTAACAGATGAATTACTGCTAGATATGAGGAATAGGCTTTAGTGCTTTATAGCATTGGGTGAATATAGTTAACAGTAACTATATTTTCAAAAGCTAGAAGAGAGGATTTTAATGTACCCAACATAAAGAAATGATAGTTTTGAGGTGTGGACATGCTAATTACCCTACTTTTATGATTACACATTGTATACATGTATAGAAATATCACTCATAGATATTTACTGTTATTACATGTCAACTAAAAATAGAACGGAAAAAACCTGAATTAGAGGAAATATATACCAGAAGAATGATATATATTTTGGTATATTTCAGATAGTGTGGTTTTCAAAGGTGGATCTTGAAGCCCAATTCATTTTAATAGGTACTAAAAATAGCTGGAATCAAAAGAACCCACAAAATCTTTTGGACTAAAGGTACTGGAAATATTTGAATCATAATAAACCTCCTCAAAAGTCTTCAATAGTGTGTACTGGCACTATGTTAATGGTTGAATAATGGCTACATAGGGGATGTACCATTGCCTGCTTTTGTGTAGGTTTGAAATTTTCCAAAATTAAAATAAAAAAATATTACCTAACCATCAGGCCCTTTCAATGATTATACTTAGCGGAGTGAATAGAATGAAGCATCAAGAGCTGCCAGAAAAGGTAGTCCTGAGATGCAGTGTGAAGGGCTTTGCAGGCCAGTCAGAAAGTTTTTGCGTAATGAGAAGCCTTTCGAGGATATTAAGCAGGTGGTGTGTGTGTATGAATGTGAATGTGTGTAGATGTGAATGTCTATATGGGAGTATGTGTAAGTGTATATGTTAGGTGTGTGTGCAAGAGTATATGAGTTCAAGTGAATGTGTATAGGTTTCCTGCTCATACAGTCATGGAACTGGTGTGAATATCATAGCTGTAGTTGAAAGGTAATACTTGAAGTCTGAATTTAGCCTCAGTCCTCTGGGTGGAGCTTAGGGTGGCCAGCTGTCCCAGGTTATTCAGGACAGGGAAGTTTTCTGGGATATTGGAACTCTGAGTTTTAAAAATCTGAGTGGTTAGTCACCTTAGTAGTGGCAGTGGATAAAGGGTACAAATTGTGAGTAGTTCTATGTTTGAATGGTGCTTGGTGGATAAGGAAACAAAGAAAAATCAGGCAGCTGAATAGATATGGAAGTCAAGGGTGAAGATCTTTAAAACAGAGGGAGTGTCCAGCAGTGCCCCACCCTTAAGGGGATCTGAGTCGATGGAGACTCAGGCCACAGGTTTGAGTTTTCAAAATATTATTAACTTACTCAGATTAGGACTTACCAGGCATGTTTTTTGTTATTTAGACTTCAGACAACAACAGCAACAACAACAAATTTCTGCCATTGGGTGCAATTAATACTATTAGTGCCAAAAACATAGATTAGAATGTAGACACAGGACTTGGTGAAACAACTCATGAAAGATAAAATATTAAGGCAAAGGTGTTTGAATCACTTAACGATTTGATTAGATAACAAAGAGGTTAAGGCCATCTCTTGTAGTATTTGGAGATATTTAATTTTTATTATGTTAAGATAAATCTCACATAAAGCTTAACAAATCTTAGTCAACTCTTATGAGTAGAGTGTGAGTGTTAGGTGGTGCTATTCCACTGAGCAGTGAGATGAGGGAAGAATGGGCCTATGGGGTCTTGGTACTTTCTGCATATCACGTTGCCACTCCCTCCCTGACAAGTATTTCTATCACTCATCGTCTCAGCTGCACTCAGGGCTGCCAGCCATAATCTATTATCCAGCTACTGGTTTGAATAAATCAATGATTTATTTGCAGTCTCCTAGAGCTGTAGGCAGGAAATGCAAACAGCAGCTTTCCCTCGGGAGGGCTGAATGTAATGGGACCCTTTTCTGTTTTGCATCCTCAGGCTCTGATGGGAATCTCTGAGGATGCTCAGTGGAAAATTTCTTTTCCTCTCAGCCCTGATCTCTCCTGAATGGCTCAGTAAGACTGAAGGAAAAGGATTCTGTCCTGAGTTCTCTTCTCGCCATGGTGAAGGAAATAGGGAAGGAAGATCAGGATTAAAAAATTGTTTTTAGAGGATAGGAGTTTTAATTGTGGACATTTAAGGTTTAGGGTACATTCCTGACTCCACAGTACATAGACTTCCACTCAGGAATTTTCCACATTGTAATTTAATCCAGTATCCTTTTCCAGCCTGTGTACTCTTGGGAGGGTGAAATTTTTGTTGAGTTGATCTTTGTTTACTAAAAATGCATTAAGACATACATTTTTCTTGAATGTATAGATGCACTCATTTTGTATGGTGGTTTGCAGTTTGTCATAGACATATTATTTTGAGTCTCACAGCAGCCCTATGAAGTGGATGTTGTGATTATTTCTGCTTTCCAGATGGGGAAACTGAGGCTCAGAGAGGTTTAGTGACTTTCCCAAGATCACACAGAATGGGGACTGAAGTCTAGGTCTTTGACACCAAGTGTAGGTTCTTTCTACACACCACACTAACTCTAAGCCTTTCCCATCATCATACAATGAACCAGTCTTTTGCTTAGTCATCTAAAAAGAACACGCAAATACAAACATTGCCCTGCTGGATCAAATCCACAAGGAGAACCACAGCCTAGTGTTCAGCCTCAACGGAGATGGTTTATAGAGGCACGACTATTTCAAGCTCATTTCAAACTCATTGTTATCAAATGAGTAGCTTCAGGGTCATAGTTTTCAAAGCCTTAGATAGAAACAAATTTGGGGCTATGTGTCTGTCCTTAACAGGTGGAAGACAGGGGACTAGAACATTTAGCTTTTTGAGCTTTTTGTTTATTTATTTATTTATTTATTCAAAGAACTAGCGGATTGTGTTTTAAAGATTTCACAGGGACAGAAAAACTGGAGAAATTGAAAGTGGCAAAAATACTGGAGAAGTTGCCACGTTCAAAACACGGCACAAGTTTCCACAATCAGTATCCCTGGTTTTGCAATGAAGTGTGACTGGGGCCTCGGGCATGCTGTGCCTTCAGGAGCTGAAGAACATGCCTGAGTGAAGGGGCTGCAACTGCAGCCTGGGAGAAAATCTGATCCACTCATTCGTTTTGTTTTGTGTAGCCCACGATCCACTCAACCAAAATTTCACCCTCCGAGAATGCACACCTAGGAAAATTGGACATAGCCATGCTCCAACAGAATTTCATATCATGAAATATTAATTTTTTTCAACCACTTAAAAATGCAAGAAGCATTTACTAAACATGTATTTTTAAATGGTTGAAAAAATTAAAATAATATTTTATAATGTGAAAATTATTTGAAATTCAAATTTCGGCCTCCATACACAAAATTTTGGTGGAGCACACCCATGTCCGTTCATTTGTTTTTTTGAATCTGGTGGCTTTTGTTCTGCAACAGAAGAGCTGGACTCTTCTGGCAGGGACTGCATGTGGCCGATAAAGCCTAAATTATTTACTCTCTGATCCTTCACAGAAAAAGTTTGCTGGCCCCTAACCTAGTGCCCTGCTCGGTTCAAATTGACACTCAAATAACTGTTGGGGAGCTAAACTGTGGAATACTGCATGTCTTACATTTCTGACATTGTCAGGAAGGGAACAGGAAAACAATTCTTAAGGCCACCCTATACTTTTCACCTGCCACTTGGATTGAACTACTGGATCTGTGGCCACGTTCTGCCACCAGGCTTATGGGACTATAAAGGCTGAGCTTTCTGTGTGCATCTGGCCCAATCTAGTTTGGCCTTTTCATATCTGGCCTGCTTTAAATAACCTGATTCTAGATGCCTCTCAGTCTCACTGTCCTACCCTTTAGAATACTAACAGCTAGCCAGGTGCGGTGGCCAGGAGCTGAGCAAAACAGATGCTAACTTACTCTGGCCTCTTTCTTTTCTCTTTCTGCTTCCTGCCCACTTCACTCTTTTCCCTGCATTCTTTCTTTCCTCTCTGCTCACTTTGTTCCCTTTCATTTGGAGAAATAAAGCATTCAGGCCAGGTGCAGTGGCTCATGCCTGTAATCCCAGCATTTTAGAAGGCTGAGGTGGGTGGATCATGAGGTCAGGTATTCAAGACCAGCCTGGCCAAGATGGTGAAACCCCATCTCTACTAAAAGTACAAAAAAATTAGCTGGGCGCAGTGGCAGGTGCCTGTAATCCCAGCTACTTGGGAGGCTGAGGAAGAAGAATCGCTTGATGCTCCCACCTGGGTGGTAGAGGTTGCAGTGAGCCGAGATCACGCCACTGCACTCCAGCCTAGGCAACAGAGTGAGACTCTGTCTCAAAAAAAAAAAAAAAAAAATAGCATTCAGTTACCTTTGCATATCCATGTGCCATCCTATAACTCATCTCTATCTCCAAACATCCTTTCTAGACTATTGGTTTTTACCCATTCCCTCCCTTTTGGCATCATCTTCTAGAACCCCTGGGATCAGGATGTCACCCTATCACTCCACTGATAATAGCACACATGGCCTTTTTTTAGTCAAATCCAAAGCCTTTTTCTTCAGCCTTTACTTTCGTTGGAACATCCACAGCACTTGATAATTTCCAGCAGCCTTTCTTTCCTGCTCTTCTTCCTCTGTAGCTACTCTGGTTTCCCTTCTACCCTTTGCACTGATTGCTGTGCTCTGCTTCACCAGCCCTAACTCTACGTTAGTCGGGTGTCTTAAGTAGGATGATCATGTAATTCTTCATCCAGACCATGATATTCTTGAGAATTAAAGGGTGCTCAATTAACAACAGACAATAAACAGAGATTGGCCTTGGCATCTGGCCACCCTCTCCTTAAGGCTCAGGGGAAAATAAAGTGGAGAGATCTCAGGGCAAGATGTGAATGAACATAGTTCAAGTCACTTTCAATGTCCATCTTCAGGTTTCTTGGTTATTTCTGTTTAGAATCTCAGGTTAAAAATTCAGCTTCATATTCATAAAAGGGTCAAGTTATCTGAGAAATGTCAGAGCAGGTTTGGGAGAAAAGAGAGGGTGAGGAGAGAGTTCTACCTGAGGAAAAGGCAGAGGTGGTTGGACCAGGTCCTGCAGTCCTCCCTGAGTTCGTCACAGAGTCTGCCCTTTTAGGTAAAGAGGAACTTGGTGCTGAAACCGCTTCCAGGCTCTTTTCAGCCCAGGGTTGCCCAAGATCAGTTGTACTGAGTGGCCTGCAGGGTAGGCAGCCATGATGATCTTGCACAAAATATTCCAGGAACTGTAAGTGTCAAAAATGTTGGACATGGAAAGAAATAGAGCAGTTGCATTGAAAACGTAGAGGATGAGAAAGTAGCTGGTGGCTTTGATGGCCCCTATGTGAGCCTTCATGCTGGGGTCCCCGGACCCTGTGGCATTGCTTCCCATGTGTAGGGTGTGTCTCTTGAGAGAGAGGATCAGCAGGGTGGCTGCCAGGGTGAACATGATCAGAGGAATGAAGAGCCCCATGTTATAGAAAAAAACCAGGTTGACCATATTGGTTTCAGAGAAGTACTTCTTCTCTGTGGAGTTGGAGGAGGGGATAGGAATGGAGCTATTCACATACACGTTGAAGACATCTTTAGAGAATGGAATGCTGAAGCCTAAGGAAACCAGCACTGACAGCCTCAGAAGCCAAGGCATCAGCACTATGATTTTCCTCTTCATCAGGAAGAACAAAGGGTGATTGAAGTTTGCAATTCTAAGACAATAGAAGACATTGAGCCAGGCAGCAAACCAGAGGTTGGAATGGTTCAGAAAGACAATGATGACTTTGAAGAGGGTATACACTGTGTTTTGGTTATAAACAATTCGGAATAGCAGACTGAAAATGTTCTCCAGCATCATCCAAATCTGTAGCAAGACCCTGGAAATGCTCAGCATCAACATAATGCAGTCACCAGTGGGGAGTGTTTTGCCCCTGGCCCACTCAGCCCCATAGATGGCCGTGATGAAGCCACTCCCAAGGATGCCAATGATGCACTGTATTCCGGAGACCACCAAGGTGAAGGTGACCTTGAACCTGGAGATGTCTTTATCTGTGGCATCTGTGTTCACCGTTGCCATTCTCTGTGATCTCGACTTTCAGGTTTCTGTGCCAAGACTGCTCTGCAATCTTCTGACCCTCGCTCAATGTTTTTATAATTTTCGCTCCCCTCGTTAATGGTTATTTACAATTTTTCTCAATTTGTTTATCACATGACTACAAGTTAGAGCCTTCACATGCAAATGATGAGAGGATCTGGTTACTGGCTCTGTCTCAATTTTTCATAAAGATACATTTGTCTTGGACTTTCAGAAGCTCACTGGAAATAGTTTGGGACATGTTTCTAGCTCAACACCTTCCTATCTTACTTACTTTAAGTCCACATTTTCCTGATGAGGCATGAATAGTAGGCTTTTTTACTTGTCTCACAAGATCTCTGTTACCTGCTAAATTATCTGTAAAAGCTCATACAGCTTTTAAAATTCCTTTTCCCCACTTCTTTTCTTGTCTCTCTTACTTTGGAAGAGATTTTTATTTTGATAGTTACCATGTTTGTGAATAAAAGATTCCCATAAGCTCATATATGAATATCTTTTACTTAGAATTGAGTTTCTTCCAAGAAGGCCTGCTATTATAATGTTCTCAGATAGTGTACAGAACAGCCAAAATTGGATGCTATTTGAGTTGGAGACAAGGAAGTCTCCATAGTCCCAGTTTTCATTGTGTACATGTCATCAGTTTCAGCTGACTGAGATCCACATGACTATTTGAGCTCAGAATCAGGTAGAATGAGCCTGGGGAGAATTCAGTGTTCTGGACATGGTGTTGAAGTTCAGAAATGTGATAAGGTACTATAGCTTGAAATTTAATTTCCTACTTTTTAATTCTGGCTGTGAACCAGAATGAACTCTGACAGTTTACAAGAATATATAGGACTCATCCAAATCTAGGAAATCAGAATTTGAACTAGGGCTCAGGCATGCTATCTTTTAAAAAAGCCAAAAGGTCTTGTTGCTCATAGTCAGGATTGAGAACCAAACTCTTAGCTAGAAACCAATGAGCCTTGGGTCAGATTTGGCCTGTAGTCATTTTACCTTGCATTGGCTAATGCCATACAGCATTAATCCACCAGTGCACAACTTTTTTTTTTTTTGAAGTGTTTTATTGGCCAACATTTAAACTTAGGAGATTACTTATATGTACACACAAAAAAATCTATCTTCTCTTGAAAAATTAGAAGATTTGGCAGTATTGGGTCTTCATAATCAATTGGTCGAAGCTCAGTAGTGGCTGCCCATTTTAAACAAGGTATATACTTTTCAGTTTGTTGACAATACTAATTCCTAGTGTCTTCTTGACACAGAAGCAGAGTGCCAGTTATCATTTTTCAGTGTGCTTGCCCTGTTATTTCTGTTCGATCTTTTTTTTTTTCTTTTTGAGACTTGGTCTCACTCTGTCATTCAGGCTGGAGAGCAGTGGCATAATCATGGCTCACTGCAGCCTTGACCTCCATGGCTCAGGTGCTCTCCACACTTCAGCCACCCAAGTAGCTGGGACTACAGGTGCATACCACCACACCTGACTAATTTTTGTATTTTTTGTAGAGACAGGGTTTCACCATGTTGTCCGGGCTGATCTTGAGCTCCTGGGCTCAAGCAATCTTCCCACCTCAGCCTCCCAAAATACTGGGATTATAGATGTGAGCCACCATCCCTGGCCTTGGCCCATTATACTTTTTAATAATATAAATGGAGGAATGATAAAAATGGATTTCCCTACCCCAAATTAATTTTATTTAAAATAAGAAAGTAGGCTAGGCACAGTGGCTCATTCCTGTAATTCCAGCACTTCGGGAGGCCGAGGAGGAGGGTTGCTTGAGCTCAGGGGTTTGAGGTCAGGCTGGGCAACATGGTGAAACCCTGTCTCTACCAGAAATACAAACAAATTAGCTGGGTGTGGTGACACACACCTGTGGTCTCAGATATTGGGAAGTCTGAGGTGGGAGGATCCTTGAGCCTGGGAGGCAGAGGTTGCAGTGAGTTGAGATATGGCTACTGCACTCCAGCCTGGGTGACAGAGCCAGACCCCAAATAAATAAATAAATTATTTTGAGCCAGTCTCAAAAATAAGTAAATTAATCACATTTACTTTACTTTAGAGATTTAATAAATCTCTAAGTCAGACATTTATTATTATTATGAAAATATCTTATGTTATTAGATCATATTTGTATAGAAATAAGCACCCGGCAAAGCAACATATTTCAAAATTAAGAAAGCATTGTTTAGAGAAATGAAAACTTATGTCAACACAGAGATTTGTATGAGAGTGCGCATAGCAGCTTTATTCTTAATAGTCAGAACTGGAAACAAGCTTTGTTGGTAGGTTCTACGTCTCCTGTAAGAGACTCACTAACTTCAGTGAATTCTCTTAATTGAGGACAGTGGTATTTGTCAGCAGCTTTCACATGTTCCAGAGCATTAAACTCATTTTTTGGTTTATTCTGTCCCAACATATGCAAGTTTGTAATAAATGGTATCTCCCCAAATTGCTGGCACACAGTTGTTAACTTCCATTGTTCTGGTACTGTTTTCTGTTGGTCTTCATTCATGTTTTTTTTCTGATTTTAAGAAGTGGGAACAGAAGGAGATGTTGGGCAGGGTCTGCCTGCAGCCCTAGGGGCACAGGCAAGAGGAACAGGGAGGGCATCAGCCAATGGGATGTGGGACTTGTGCTGAGGTTCTATGCAAGCTGGCGGTCTAGGTTGACAACTCCAAGCCACTCACAGTGCCACATTTATAGCTATGTGCGGCCAATTCATTTTTATTCCATATTTTCTCATTTGGAGAGCTAGAATGGAGGCATCATCTCTACTTTAGGGAAATTCTTTCTTTTTTTTTTTTTTTTTTTAATGTTTTGAGATAGGGTCTTGCTCTGTCACCCAGGCTGCAGTGCAGTGGTGCGATCTCAGGTCACTGAGACTGCCCCCTCCTGGTTCAAGTGATTCTCATGCCTCAACCTCCCAAGGAGCCGGGATTTTGGGTGTGCACCACCATGCCTGGCTAACTTTTGTATTTTTAGTAGAGATGGGGTTTCACCATATTGGTCAGGCTGGTCTTGAACTCCTAGCCTCATGTGATCCACCTGCCTCTGCCTTCCAAAGTGCTGGGATTACAAGCATGAGCCACTGTGCCTTGCCTACTTTAGGGAAGTCTTCATAGAACAAAAATTTCAAATTCTTGGCTATTAAGTTTAAAAGCTTTGGTCCAGGCATAGGATAGAACAGACTGGAAGAATACGTGGTTGGGGAAACATTTTTCTTTCACGTCTCTCTCCATTACCACCATGTAGACTAGAAAATGCTTTCCCAGTTAGAGACAAATGAAAGAAGAGGAGGCAGCAAAGAGCTAGAGAAGGTAAGGATCTCTGTTGAAGGGGTCCCACATCTTGGCCCACTGCTCATGGCTGCATGGGGGTGTCAAAGGATGACAGGCTGCAAGAGAGCCCCTGAGTCCCCTGCAGCTCGTCTCTGCTTGGGAGAGCTGTTCAGACTTCCTTGTGTTAACAAAAGGAGTTTGGAAATCTGCTAAGGGAGTTAGTGGATGGGGTCTAGTGGCCATATCAAGGAGACATTGCAAGCATGAGATCAAAATGTGGACCCATGAATTGTAGTTAACGTTAAGGAAAGAGGAATGGCCACAGTATAGACTCTACATTTCACCTTCATGCCAAATCTTTGAGTGACCCCCAAGGAGCACAGATGTCACTTGTGGAAGACAAGAAGGAAAAATTTGGTAAGAACAGTGTTTAAGCCTCATATGGCTGAGAAAACACAAAGTACAATTAGTTTATGGAGCAGTGTCAACTCAATGTGGGGGTTAAACACAACATGTTTCTTCCCCTCCAGCTTCAGTGCCCCACTCTGTGCTTCCCATCCCATTGTGATGTCTTGGGCAGGTTTCAAATATTCGTCTTCCTTGTGCTGAGAGAATTAAAAAAACAAGTATTTGTCTTCTTTTGGTTGTAATACTCAGTCCAATATTTCATATTTGGTTTAAGTCTTATCTTCTGCTTTTCCCCAAGCATAATTTTAGCTGAGACCCCATCTGCTTGGATTGGAAGGAGACAAGGTAGACCCTGAGACACCTGTCTCTCTCTCTTCAGTTTCTGGCTGGTGTCGGAGAGAGAGGACTGGCAGCAGAGTCTCTTTATTTCCATGGCTGCTGTTGTAAATGCACTCTCTTGTGTTGCTGCTGCTCCCCTGGCCAACACCATCTGGCCCTCCGTGCCTTCTGGGTGCCAGACGTCCATATGTTGGCTGTCTTGTGAGGATCTCGTGTGAGTCTTGAGGAGGCTCTGCAGCAGCTCTTCACTCTGCTGCCCATAACTCCAGTAGGTCCCCGTTCTTCCCCCTTAATCTTTCTACATATGCAGACTCAGGTGGAGGGCTGCTGCTGGGATCCTGGCCATTTGCAGCAGGGCAGGTAACTGTCACCTCTTATTAAGCTTTGCAGGTAGATGTTTGGTCCCAATTGCTGGCTGCTTTCTTTAGATCTGTTTTTTCAATCCTGTCCATATCCTAGAATTACCCTTATGACTGGAAGGGCTTTTGCCAAGCCCCTATACCCAAGTCCCACCCTCGAAGATTATGAATAATTGTTCTGGAGAACAGCTAAGCATTGGCATTTTCAAAGCTCCCCACTGTGATTTTTTTTTTTTTTTTTTTTTGCACTTATACTAGTTTATTGGTCTCAGAAATATACTATAAGTAAGACTGCCTTCAGCATACTAGAGAACAGTTTTTCTTTCTTTTTTTTTTTTTTTTTTTTTTTTTTAAATTTTTTATTGGATTACAGGTTTTGGGGTACATGAGCAGAGCATGCAATACAGTTGCGTAGGTACACACATGGCAGTGTGCTTTGCTTTTCTTCTCCCCTTCACCCATATTTGGCATTTCTTCCCAGGCTATCCCTCCCCACCTCCCCCTCCCACTGGCCCTCCCCTTTTCCCCCCAATAGACCCCAGTGTTTAGTACTCCCCTTTCTGTGTCCTTGTGTTCTCATATTTCATCACCCACCTATGAGTGAGAATATGCGGTGTTTCATTTTCTGCTCTTGTGTCAGTTTGCTGAGGATGATGTTTTCCAGATTCATCCATGTCCCTACAAATGACACGAACTCATCATTTCTGATTGCTGCATAATATTCCATGGTGTATATGTGCCACATTTTTCCAATCCAGTCTATTATCAATGGGCATTTGGGTTGATTCCAGGTCTTTGCTATTGTAAACAGTGCTGCAATGAACATTCGTGTACATGTGTCCTTATAGTAGAACGATTTATAGTCTTTTGGATATATACCCAGTAATGGGATTGCTGGGTCAAATGGAATTTCTATTTCTAAGGCCTTGAGGAATCGCCACACCGTCTTCCACAATGGTTGAACTAATTTACACTCCCACCAACAGTGTAAAAGTGTTCCTTTTTCTCCACATCCTCTCCAGCATCTGTTGTCTCCAGATTTTTTAATGATCGCCATTCTAACTGGCGTGAGATGGTATCTCAATGTGGTTTTGATTTGCATCTCTCTGATGACCAGTGACGATGAGCATTTTTTCATATGATTGTTGGCCTCATATATGTCTTCTTTCGTAAAGTATCTGTTCATATCCTTTGCCCACTTTTGAATGGGCTTGTTTGTTTTTTTCCTGTAAATCTGCTTGAGTTGTTTGTAAATTCTGGATATCAGCCCTTTGTCAGATGGGTAGACTGCGAAAATTTTTTCCCATTCTGTTGGTTGCCGATCCACTCTAGTGACTGTTTCTTTTGCCGTGCAGAAGCTGTGGAGTTTCATTAGGTCCCATTTGTCTATTTTGGCTTTTGTTGCCAATGCTCTTGGTGTTTTGTTCATGAAGTCCTTGCCTACTCCTATGTCCTGTATAGTTTTGCCTAGATTTCCTTCTAGGGTTTTTATGGTGCCAGGTCTTATGTTTAAGTCTTTAATCCATCTGGAGTTAATTTTAGTGTAAGGTGTCAGGAAGGGGTCCAGTTTCTGCTTTCTGCACATGGCTAGCCAGTTTTCCCAACACCATTTGTTAAACATGGAATCCTTGCCCCATTGCTTGTTTTTGTCAGGTTTATCAAAGATTGTATAGTTGTATGTATGTTGTGTTGCCTCCGGTGCCTCTGTTTTGTTCCATTGGTCTATATCTCTGTTTTGGTACCAGTACCATGCTGTTTTGATTACTGTAGCCTTGTAGTATAGTTTGAAATCCGGTAGTGTGATGCCCCCCGCTGTGTTCTTTTTGCTTAGAATTGACTTGGCTATGCGGGCTCTCTTTTGGTTCCATATGAAGTTCATGGTGGTTTTTTCCAGTTCTGTGAAGAAAGTCAATGGTAGCTTGATGGGGATAGCGTTGATTCTGTAAATTACTTTGGGCAGTATAGCCATTTTCACGATATTAATTCTTCCTAACCATGAACATGGAATGTTTCTCCATCTGTTTGTGTCCTCTCTGATTTCGTTGAGCAGTGGTTTGTAGTTCTCCTTGAAGAGGTCTCTTACGTTCCTTGTGAGTTGTATTCCAAGGTATTTTATTCTTTTTGTAGCAATTGCGAATGGCAGTTCGCTCTTGATTTGGCTTTCTTTAAGTCTGTTATTGGTGTAGACGAATGCT